GTCCCGCACCCCGAGAGGCTCCGGGGAGCGCCGCGCCCGCCCCACGCCCGCGTTTCTGTGACAGCCAGGACTTGCTCGCCTCGAACGCCAAGGCACGGCTCGGGATCCATTGGGGCTCCTGGGGGATGATTCTGGGCGGGGACCCGCACAGCTCCCCCGGTACCCCAAGATTCCCGGCACTGGCGGTGACTCAGAGCCCCCGCTCACCTCCCTGAGCCGTCCCGCACCCGCCGCTGTGTAATCGCACCAAGTCACCGGTCATGGGAGCAGCAGGAAGCGGAGGCCAAGGGCATCCCACATCCAGAAATGCTCCTGGCGCCCCCTCACCTCCTTTCAGACCCTTTTCTTCTCCCTTCTCCCCTGCTGTGGGGCAAGCTCAACATGGGAGTTCATTCTTCCCGTATTTCCCATCAAAACTTGACAGGGGAAACTGAGGCACGGCGTCTGGAATCCTTGCTGGGGGGATGCTGGGGGACAACGGGAAAATATGGAGCGGCTCAAAAGGGGAAGTCCTGGAGCTTGTGCAGCAACACACGACTGTTCCAAGAGAGACCCAACGGGAAGCAAAAAAATTCCACAGGGGAATTTTGTCAGCGTTTTTGAGGAATCGGGGTGATTTTCCAGAGCAGCTGTGGAGGAGGAACAACCTCTGCAAGATGAAAACGTGGCTTTGGAGTCTCGGGGAAGGAAAGCAGAGCTAGGAGCCCTGCTGCCTTTTTCCAATTACCCTAGCTGCTCTAATAAAGATATTGCTTCTCCCCACGGCCCTTGCCGCTCTAATCTCGCCTTGTGAAAGGCATCGCTCAGCAAGGCAGGGAGATAAGTGGTGCAGAGACCCAAAACTTCCCACCAGCGACCTTGAACAGAGAGCTGCTCTGCTCAGGAGGGAAGATAAAGCCCAGATGGTTTTAGGGCTGGTTTGAATCCCTTTTTATAGCCTGAAAGTGAAAGTCTGCAGCTGACAGGGAAAACCCTCAGTGAACTGGAAACCTCTGACACAAGCAAAAAATCACAAAGTCCTGAGCAGCTGTGCAGGGAAACGGGGGCATCTGTGGGTGGGCAGTGGACCACAACCTGTGGCAGAGGTCAGGGACAGCAGAATTTCTGGGATGGGGACCCTTAAAATTGTTGCCAATGCCTCGATTGCTAAAATGCACACATGGGTGTGGAGCAGAGCAGGGGAATGAAGAAACTGGAGGAAAGGGACGGTGACAAGGAGCACAAATCCTTGATGCTGGTATTTACTGGGACATGGTGAGGTCAGTAACGCTGCCAAGGTGGTCCTGTGAGCCTGGAAGGCCAACCAAGAGCAAAAGTCAGACTGGAGGCTTGTCCCCACTCAGATCCTTCTGTCCCTCTGCACTGGGACCACCCCACACTTGGCTGTGACCCCAGGATATGGCTGGAAGGTCAGGAGAGCAGCCAGGACTTGCAGCCTGGATTCCTGCAGCATCTCCCACCCACACAGGACCAGTCCACGTCCCGCCACCAACCCTCCTTGCGGGGCTCCTGTCTCCCACCTCATCCACCAACCTCTGCCCGTTCCCTGCCAGATGCTCCCAGAACCCCAGTTCTTTGCCTCCAAAATGTGACCGAATATTCAGCACTGTGCAGCCACCTTCAGGACTAAACTCCTGCGTTTCCCACACGTTTGCACATCCCTGCGTACACCCAGACATTCATCCCGGGATGAGCATATTCCCTGCACCCTCCAATGCTCCCCCATTCCCCCCTCGCTCTCCTCGCCGCTGCCTGGCTCTCAGTCCCGGTGCCCGGAGCAGTGACTCGCAGCGGGTTTTGGGGTCGAGCCAGGAGCTCCCTGCCCCGGGGCCGAGCTCCGGAGCGCTTTTCCAGCTCCTCCCTCCCTCCCTCCCGGCCGCGGGGATGGG